TAGGTCCCAAATATTAGCGACTTAGCTCCTTTAAGTAAAGCCTTGTAAATACATGTAAAACTTCGTGTTAAATTCAGTTTGATATTTTCAAATAATCAATAAAATTATGGAGCAACATTATTTCGTCTGTGACATGACATTTAAAATATCTTCCTGTCTCACATTTCTGTGCTGAGTACTATGTCCTATACCCGAGTCTTGTTGGCATAATAATATTAAATACAATCAAGGAATTGGCCCCAAGCATCGTCAAACCTCATCCAAGCCACCACTTTGGTAACTTTAGTTAGAAAATATCACCACCTTAAAGCTACAATCCAACAATGACGAAATAAACGAAAATGAAATGGGGTTTAACGTCCAGCTTTTCTGCTCCGGATAATGAAGACGGACATTCGCCAGTGTGCTATGAAGGAAATTTTACCCGGACAGCGGCCTATCGAATTCCAACTGCCAAGGGATCTATACGTGCACACATATGTGTACACGGGACCTCGGTTTTTCGTCCCATCCGAACGACTATACGTTGTCCCTTGCCATGCTCTCTGTCCTGCTCCACTGCGAGGGGGGACCACGCCGGAAAATCTATCTTTATATCCCAAATATCTGAGTCCATTTACATATTCTTTCATTTCGGACCATGACTTCCTGGATTATGGTCCCTGATTGTACGAAAAAATGTTTATTTTTATTTAGCTTGTTCTCTATCCACCTCTTGCGTATCTTGACTGGCAATCGCTGGCTATAACTTGTTGCGATCGTTAATCCAGGGATATCGAAGGTGTCTCTTCGATTTTAAGTCGAGTACTTGGCACTGTCCCCAAACATATATAAGGGTTTTGGGGTTGCCGAGTTCAATTTCTACTAATTACGATTAACCCAGATCGTGTTAAATCTCTAATGTCTTTTGAAAAACTCACTGTAAATGGTGCTTTCTATGGTATATCCTGGTGATTCTCGTTTATGCACATATTTAGATTGCGGCAATTTTAGTAATTCATCAAAAAAGACATAAACTCATGACTTAATGGGGACTCCAAAGTACACAATACAATTAACTAGTTATAGGGACCCCTGGAACTCCCATACTCCTTTTCAGCCGATCCCAGAAAAGGGAGGAGAAAGATAGGATGTTAAAACGTGTTGCAAATTTCCACATTACTTTAATTATATGTACAAAATACGTCATACAATCTGATAATTCATATATTATTTTACAGCTACTGTTTCCGTTTTATCCAATAAACAATTTATTGTTAATTGGCGTAGAGAAATATGATACATTATTTTACAGCTACAAAATAATACAAAAAATCCATTTCATCCAATAAACAATTTAATGTTAGTTCGCATAGAATAATATGATGTTAAAACGCGTGTTACAAATTTCCGTTTTACATGGTAGACCCAAAACTATCATATAAATTTATAATTGGTATATTATTTTATATCTACAAAAGATAATGCTTCCGTTTTATCCAATAAGCAATTTATTGTTAGTTCGCGTAGAATAACATTATGGTGTTGAAACGTGTAACACCTTTACGTATTACATGGTTGCCTCAAATGTTCATATAAATTAACAAATTGTATATTGATCAAGTACTTTACGGCTACAAGTATGTTTCCAATTAATAGAAAATTCCAATAAACATTTTATTTTTAGTCCGAAGGGAAAGTGTGACAGAGAGGGTCGGAAAATGAACAATAGAGACAAACACTTAACAAATTTGGGTAATCTTATAGAGGCCTATATATAATTCCAAATATAAACAATAATCAGCCATAAAATAAATTTGTATTTTTTTTCAAAATGAGGTGTTATATTCATCATGATTAATTGAGAAAAAACAGACAACACCAAGGAAGGAAAAATGAAATAAAATGGGGTTTAACGTTCTACTGTTCTGCTCCGACTCGGCTAATGCAGTGTGCTATGATGAATTTTTTTTCCGGACAGCGGCGCTACGGCCTACTGTAATTTCGAATAGCACGCCAATGTGTATATGGGTCCTCTGTCTTACAACACTAACAAGGGGGAACCACGTCGGAATATCCAGAACTTTATCGGCCAACGCAGGGGTTGAAGACGTGACCTTCAGGTTAGCGAGCCAACATCTACACACTCAGCTACCGTGGCTCCCCAAACAAAGAAAAGCCAATTAAAAGTTGTTAATTAATTTTTAAATTATATACATATTAAATTTGTTACGCAGATGGATTATTAAATTGAAGATCCGCCTGCATATAAACGGGTTCACTGATGTCAAATAGCTGGTTCTAGAAATTTGGGTATACGGTTGCAACACAAGCCACGAGAGAAAAACTTCCTTCTCAGACACTGCAACACTATTTTACAGATAACAGAGATCAGTTTCGTATATTATAGGTTTTTTTTGCATCGGAACTGAATGTAAAACAGCTACATAAATTAAACAGGAACTAAAATACATCAGGAATATAAACGACAACATTAACATGGTACAACAAGACAAACATTCCGTACTTCTGCCCCGGCTGAACACGAGTGGGCCCATAAACTCCATATTGCGTTCTCCTCTGCTGCTCTCCGCACGTCACCTGCCCCTGTCAGTAAACTCTTGGTTATATAGCCCAGCAATTAGGGAAAATGGATACTAACGGGATGCGAACTTGTTATAAGAAGAAATTTGAGTCTAACTACACGACGTCATTGTCATTTAACAAAATTATTTTTAAATTTTACAAATTTTGCTGAAGCGGGTGGAGTGGGGTGGGCTTGAACGTTCCGTATACGAAAAAGACAAACGTTTAAATTATTTTTGAAATCTGTAATTTCACCATAACTTTCAATTTGCAACGCTAAACAGACTATTCAAACAAAGAACACTATATTTACTCAACAATTTGAAACAATAATCCATAATTAAATTTATTCAACTAAAGGCGTAAACAATTTTAACTTGAAATACAAATGTATAGTTAATTTCCATACGCACCATGAAAATCTAGAAAACAATGTTTTGATTTATTACAGCATAAAAATACATTACATGCAATACATTTACTCTGAAGGCGAGATTCGACCACGATTTTCTGAAAATATATATCATTTCACAGACGAGTTGTAATTTAAAATCTCTGTGTCATCTGTGTAAAGGATAAATTCAGAAATATAAACCAATTCGCAAAGTAAATGAAATGGGGTTTAACGTCCTACTGTTCTGCTCCTAACCTGGGCTAATGGAAGACGGGCATACGCCATACAGTGTGCTATGAGGGAAATTTTGCCCTGGCAGGGGCACTACGGCCTACTCTTATATCGAATTCCAACTGCCAAGGGTTCTTTTACGTGCACGCCAAAGTGTACACAGGACCTCGGTTTTTCGTCCCATCCGAACGACTAGACAGCTGTCCTTGTCAGGGCACTGACAAGGGGAAACCACGCCGGAAAATCTGAATGAACTTTCTCGGCCAATGCAGGGATCGAACACCCGACCTCCAGGCTAGCGAGTCAGCGTCTTACCCACTTAGCCACGTGATTCCCCAAAGGAAAAGTCACATAAATTTGGAAAAACCCGCATTGATATAGGTTTACAATCTGACGGGTACGCCCCACCGAAAAAAAATGTGACAGTAATTGCAAATATTACCCATTTTTTTTATATAAACTTTATGACATGGTTTTGATTTGGATAAAGTTTCATGAAAATAAATCCACAATCACTTTACTGACTTTGGACTTTCTGTGTCTTCAAACATGCACAAAGATTTTCTTACATAAACATCACCGTGATTTTGTGTTTGACTCGTGTCACATTGTTGCCCGTTATCACAGGAACAAAGTACACCGCGATACGCGACAAGTCGACCTAACCTAACGAAAGCGGCTGGCAGTTGGATACAGGCATTTATGTTCCTGTGTCGAATCACAAAATCTGGTTGAACAACAGGCTGCACGGGGCGATGCAATTGCCGCAAAAATGGTCTGCCTTATAATCTCTCTGCACATGTTTTAATGGGGGTGTGCAGGAGGACGAGGATGATGTATAACTGTTGCAGTGAACTTCTGGCTTGTTAAGATTCGTTTTGTTTTTGATATTAAACTTGTTTACTAATTAAAAATGTCAAGGTGTTTTGAATCTCATAACAGAACATCCCAGTCAACCAAAAGTGACCATATGAACCATTTTTACCATACTTCAAAAACCACAAAAAGTGGTAGGCTGAGACACCGGAAATTGGTATTCCCCGCCGGAATTTAATGAAAAATGAAAACTACTTCCATTTCCTTTAAGCTTATCATAGATGGGGTCGGCATGATGACAAATCCCCAGAATGAACTTTAGATTATGAAAATCCAACCATTGTTGGCAGAGATAGCCAAGAACTCGGGTCAGAGGGGTCCAGATTTCAAGGGTCGAAAACGAACAATTTGAATCCTAGAATGAGGTCCGCATGATGAACAAACCTCAGAATGAACTTCAGATCATGAAAATCCAAAGTTATTGGCTGAATTCGATCCGAGTGTGACACCGGAAATTGGTATTTCCTACCGGAAGTCAATGAAGACTACTTCCATTCGCTTTAAGTATATCATGAAAAAAGACCAGAATGAACTTCAGATCATGAAAATCCAACCATTATTGGCGGAGATAGCCATGGCTTCGGTCAGAGGGATCCTGATTTCAAAAATACCCCTCCCAAGGGGTCGGAAAATTTGATCCCCAACATTTTGGCATAGCTTGGTCCAACATCAACCCAAAACAACAAAAAAATCAATTTTAGCATATAAATCCTACGGGCCGATGACATGCCTTACCACACTATATTGTATGGGATATAGTATTTCACAAATTATATGATCAATAGTTTCATAACTCAATGCAATAAAATTAGATATTTTTTAAGGATATTAAAATTGCAGCAGTCTATTGCATCGTGTAAATTATCAACATACTGTGTGCTGAGTCAGAGGAATATAAATAACCCTCACTTGAAAATTCTTCACAAAGTAGTTGAGGGTTGGAAAGATGGCATCTTGGCAATATATATTAATTCTTATGCTGGCTATAACAACCGCAGTATTGGCACGTAAGTATTATTTTATATATATACATTTATATAAATATGATTCAGTTTATTCTATCCCAGTTAACATTGATGGTTAGATTTACGTAAAGTTTACGTCATTATGGTTAGATTTTGGTTAGCGTCCAATAATGGTAAAATTCTTTGGTTAAATTTACGTTACTTTTACGTCATAATGGTTATGGTTACTTTTACGTCAGAAAATGACGTAAATGTAACGTAAACTTTATGACGGATTACTAACCAATTTTTTTCGCTTTAAATACTTCTTGATTAAATAACATTACAAGTGTGTGCACATTCTAACAATTGATAAATAGTTGGAATTCAGACATAATAATTATATATGTATTATTGGTTATAATTCTAACGTTATTCTAACGTAAATTTTACATCAGGTTTCTAACCGTTAGTTTATGGTTAGTTTTCTGACGTAAATCTAACGTTAGTTTTCTAACGTTAATATAACGTTAGTTTTCTAACGTTAATATAACGTTAGTTTTATGTCATAATTTTAACCGTTAATTTAACGTTAGTTTTCTAACGTAAATCTAACGTTAATTTTCTAACATAAATCTAATGTTAGTTTTCTAACATAAACCTGATATTAGTTGTATAAAGTAAAACAAATGTCAGTTTAATTTCATGATACTAACAATTAAATTACTGTCATTTTTTATCCTTAGTTTTCTTACGTAAACAAATGTCAGTTTAATAACATGAGCACCATTTGTAATGAAGCGACTCGATGAAGAAGGCTAACCATATCCCACAGGAGAATACTGGTGTGGACTAGAATAAGCAGACGCCAAAGACTGTCATTCAATTTGGGCTTTTTGCATATTTTGTCGAACATAATTGATTAAAATATACAGTAAAACCAGATAAGACTGAACTTTATTCAGTTTATATACATTCATGTTATATTATTATATGCCTTGCTACCCATTTTTGTCCATTTCCAGGGGCTCAACAATAGAAATGAAATGGGGTTTAACGTCCTACTTTTCTGCTACGAACTGGGCTAATGAAGACGGGCATGTGCCATACAGTGTCCTATGAGGGACATTTTGCCCGTACAGCGGCACTACGACCTACTCTTATATCGAATTCCAACTGTCAAGGGATCTTTTACGTGCACACTAATGTGTCAACAGGACCTCAGTTTTTCATCGGATCCGAACAACTAGACAGGTGTCCTTATCAGGCCCTACGTCCCGCATCACTTTCTCGGCCAATGCAGGGATCGAACCTTTTAACTCCTTTAAGAATTTCAGCCTGTAAGCGACACATAAAGAGAAAAAGGAATGAATGAATGACCTACTCTCATTTCGAATTCCAGCTGTCAAGGTTTCGTTTACATGCACATGCAACATGAGCACAAGATCTTGATTTTTTGTCCTATTTGAAGGACTAGACACTGTCCTACATTACAAACAAGGGGAAAATTCTATACCAGGATCGGACCCATCGTTAGTTAGCCAGTGTGTTAACTTGAAAGTTAACCATTAGCCATTCAACCACGCCAGTGTGCTACAAGGGAGTTTTATCTGGACAGCTGTGCTAAGGCCTACTCATATATTGAGTTCCAACTGTCAGGGGATCTTTAACGTGCATGCCAATGTGTACATGGGACCTCTGTTTTTCGTCCCATCCGAAAGACTAGAAACCTGTGCAGTGCACAAACACATTCTCCTTATTATTCCTGTCTGTGACTACAGTAACTTGATATTGTACACATTGGAGTGCACGTAAACGATCCCTTGGTAGTTGGAATTCGATATAAGAGTATTCTGTTGTGCCGCTGCCCGGGCAAAATTTCCCTCATAGCACACTGTATGGTGTAGGCCCATCTTCATTAGCCCGGTTTAGGAGCAGAACAGTAGGATGTTAAACCCCATTTCATTTCATTTCATTTTGTGTACATGGGACCTCAGATTTTCGTCCCATCCGAACGACTAGACAGCTGTCCTTGTCAGGCCCTCTGTCCTGCAACACTGCCAAGCAGAAACCACATCGGAAAATCCTGATGAACACTAGCCAGTCAGTGGCTCCGAGGTCATAAATGTAGTGCCACAAAAAAAAAATTTGCAGTTCACAAACACATTCTCCTTACTATTTGAGTCTGTGACTACAGCAACTTGAAAGTAGTCCAATTAATAGCCTTTTTTATGTGGTTTTGCAATCGAAATCAAACCTGAGAGGGAAAACAAATAATGATAATACATGAAAAAGTGTGGCACCATCCAAAGGGAGAGTGAGAATGAAATGGGGTTTAACATTCACTCGACACAAACTAGGTTATTTCAGGACTAACCGTAGGGGTCTTTAGCAGTGGGAGGAAACCGGAGCACCCAGAGAAAATCCACGGGGTTGGACAGACGTCCCTACTCCTTGTCATATTCAACCCGGGAATGGAACCCATGCCAGTTGACACAATGACATACCTTATGATACAACACGCATGCGCTAAATCGATGGACACACTAGCCGAATCGTTCGGCTGAATGGGTGGACACACTAGCTGAATGCTTCGCCCGATTCAGCCTGTCGGTTGCATCACCTTTCACGTCACATGATTAAACATGGCGGCGTCTGTGTCTTTAATCTATCATGTGACTTCTCGATATGAGTGGTGATTGGCTAATGAATTCTATATTCGGCCGAATGCTTCGGCGAAGCGAACACACCAGGCGAATATAATTGATTCGGGCGAATTATTCGGCCGAATGACAGTGGACACCGAATCATTCGGCTAGTGTGTCCACCGCCTAACCATTTGTCCATCCGACCCTCCGCCAGTGCGTTACCAGGGAGTTTTGTCTGGACAGGAGTGCTAAGGTCTACTCTTATATTGAATTCCAACTGCAAGGGGATCTTTAAGTGCATGCCAATGTGTACATGGGACCTCAGAGAGAATGAAATGGCATTTATCATTAACTCGACACAAACTAGGTCATTTCTGGACTAACATATATAGTTTAATTTTATTTCAATAATTCGCGTGCCCGTAGGGGTCTTTAGCAGTGGGAGGAAACTGGAGGACCCAGAGAAACCCATGAAGTTTGACAGGCGACCTTACTCCTTGTCATGTACAACCAGGAAATCGAAACCACGCCAGTTGACTCAATCATACCTTATGATACAACGCGCACACGCTAACCATTTGACCATCCAACCTCGCGCCAGTGTGCTACAAGGGAGTTTTGTTTGGACAGCAGTGCTCAGGCCTACTCTTATATTGAATTCCAACTGCCAGGGGATCTTTTATGTACATGCCAATGTGTACAATGTGTAAGTCCCATCCAAACGACTAGACAGCTGTCCTTGTCAAGCCCTCCGCCCTGCACCACTGACAAGCGGAAACCATGTCGGAAAATTCTGATGAGCTTTCTCAGGCAACACTGTGAGCGAACCTGTGACCTCCAAGCAAGCCAGCCAGTGTCTTATTCACTTAGCCACTGTGGCAAAGGGGTCATAAATATTATTCCACAAAAAAACCTGTGCAGTTCACAAACACATTCTCCTTACTATTCGAGTCTCTGTGACTACAACAACTACTCGAAAGTAGTGCGAACTGTAAATTTTATTTTGTTAAACTATCGTAAGAAAAGAAACATATTGAATATGCTTGTCAATATTCTTTCTCTGTCAGAGCAGCTAAACGGTGAAATTGTCTTCCAAAAACTCTTTGTGAGTCCTCTTCCATCCAAAACTTAAAAAATCATTATTTCAAAAATGGTGTTGAGAGAGAGAGAGAGAAATGGGGTTTAACGAGAGAGAGAGAGAGAAATGGGGTTTAACCTCCACTTGACACAAACTAGGTCATTCGGGACTAACATATAGTTTAATTTTATTTCAATAATTTGCTTGCACGTAGGGGTCTTTGGCAGTGGGAAAACCCGGAGAAAACCCATGAGGTTGGACAGACGACCCTACTCCTTGTCACGTATAACCGGGGTTTCGAAACCACGCCAGTTGACTAAATGACAGGTCGTCACCATTCGGCCATCCAACCCCCCAAAAATGGTGTTGAAATGGGTGTTTTTGTGAATGCGCTTAGAAATACGCATGTGTAATGAAGTGCTATAATTGAACCATAATAATAATATAGTAGGCCTAGTGGACTCCTCCGTCTCATTTTGGTTGAATGTTTGGAAATTTGATGGCTAATTAGATTTAGGACACTCTGGCATATTTTCTAGGCTTGGCTTCATGTGGCCTGTTTTCCATGCATACAAGAATTAACCAATTAGAAGTTAAACAAAATAAAATCTGCTCCAAAATATTACAATACTTTTTTTTATTTCATTGCCCAAAACACCTTTACAGCCTGAATGTTAATTTTGGGGCAGCGTTTAACTGCATGGGTGGTAATTGAATTTATTAAATTGACTAACTTTTGCACAATAAGTAAATATAAATTATCATAATACCCCAACTCAGACAAGTTAGTGGCCTTTCAAACCAATTTAAATTCGGTCAAAATTTGTAGAAATTTAGATATTATTTTATTGCATGTGTGTACAATTTGTTATGTGTCTAAGCTCTGTTACCACAAAAAATATATTTAATTTAGTCCTTATAGTAGATTCTATCACACGTTTGAAAGTTGTCCAACGGTCGAATAAATATGTTGTAGTTTGACCTAGATAAATATAAGACTGGGAAAATAAATATAAAAAAAATTCCGACATCTTAAAAGTAGATACCTATATTCGCAATGGAAATATTATTTTAAAAATCGGGATTATTTAATTTGATACAACTGAATAAAATGGCTCTAGTCGATCTATTTAAAAAAACATCAACCAAATATACGAGTTTGGCTACTGCCAGTGCAGTACTGCATCCGTCGTGATCCGAATAAAGCTGTACGTATGTATATTATATCATATGCATGCTTAAAAAAAGGCCTCTGAATCATATAATAATTTCTTCAATTTTACTATTCATAGGCCTAAAATATTACGTAGTTATAGACTATATATAAAATATTGAAG